TCGCGGCATGCCCCGAGGGGGTCGGAGGAACGCGACAGGGCGTCTGCGCTGGCCTGTGAGCGAAGAGAACTTGAATGGCACCCTGCCCTCCATGCTGAGCGGCGCGGTGGGATTGGATTTCAACGGCGATTTGCAGGGTCCGCGCGGGATCCCGACCGCGGAGACCACGCGCGACAGTCGCGCGCGCAACGGACGCCGCTGGGAGACGGACAAGCCCATGGGCATGGCGCCGGCAGCGCGGCGGTCGCAGGAGGCCGCGGCGGGGTGCGCGGCGGATTACGAGCGCAAGCGCTGCGCCCCGTCGTTTAACGAGGCGATAGAAATTAAGACAGGATGCCACGCGCTGGCGGAGCAGACGAAAGATAGGGCCGCGGCGCGCCGAGCCCAGGGGCACGCGAAGCGATTCCTGAGCGACGCGCGCGGTCCCGGTAGAGGCGCGGCGCGGCCTGCGCAGGAGAGCGCGAACTAGCGCGCGCGCGAGGATCTCGGGCACGCGGCCGCGGCCGATAGCATCAGGACAGCGAGAACAGCCATGGCGCCGGGGGCAGAACTAGTGCCTTGGGCCGAGCGGCCGCGCGGAGACGGAGAGGGCGCGCCCGCGGCCGCGTCGGGCGCAGTAGAGGCGGATTGGCGGGGCGGTTCGAGGAATGTGCGAATCGTTTCGCGAGGCCCAGTTCACTTGCGCAGCGTGCGTCCTCTCAGCGAGCCGGCGGCGCCCGACCTGCGCGAGTTCCTCGGCGGCGGCCAGCGACAAGTGCCACGCGACGTCGACGCCGCCTGGCGCGCAGAGAGTTCGCGACGCAGACCGCGAGGCAGCGGGCGCCGGCGCAGGCGGCGCGCAACGCGGGGCGCAGTTGATTGAAGGAAGGCGGGCGAGACGCGTAGGTGCCATTCCCCGATGTCCACGAGATGGAAGCCTCGAGACACGCGTGGGTTCCGGCGTGGAACGAGCGCCCGTGGAGACTGAGTTTTCACGGGGCGCCGCAGCCGAAGCGCGGGGCGGGGGCGGAAGAGCTGAATGGGCCGGGCGCCCAGAATTGCGCGGGCGTCGTGGACCTGCGGCCGGTCGCGGACGGAGACCTGGCCACGCGCGAGGACGATTTGCACAGCGACGAAGGGTTTGGCCCGATTGTTGTCGACGCGGCAACGAGGCGGATGGCGCGCGTCGGGGGCTCGCCCGCGGAGAACGCTGACGGTCGAACCAACGCAGTCGTGGAGGGGGGAAAAGACAAGTCGGGAGTCGATGGCCAGAGGCGACGCCGCGCGGGGCGCGGACGCGAGTCGGAAAGGCGGGACACAGAGAAAACGGGGCGCGGACGGTTTGTTGAGGCGGGGCGACGGCGCAGCGCCGAGGGCGCAGGCGGCCGCAGCATCGACGGCCCAAGGAGGAGGCGGCGCTGGAGGAGCGGAGAGCGCCCCGCAAATTGTTACAGGGAACAAGGCAACGGTGGCTAGCGTGAGGAGGTTGAATATCGAGAATGCGGATGACGAGCTGGTCGGTCGACGCAGCGTCGCGGAGAGGGCGACCGATCGGGCGCCGGCGCGGGAATTCGCAGCTCTTGCGAGGGGCAAGACTACATGCCAGAGACGAGCCCATGCGCGACCCCTCTTGTGGGTCCTGCACGAGGAACTGGGAAGAGTTTCGCCATGGGCAAGATCCACCAGAAGGAATTGCTCGAGGAGGAGATGGAGTGGGCGCGCGGCGTAGACTTCCAGGTAGCAGCTCTGCAGGCAACGAACGCGCCAGCCCTCGACGGACATGCGATGCACAGCGCATGTGGCCTTGGCGCGACCAAGACGAAGGAGCACAGCGCCGGGGGCACTGGAAACGCAGATTCAGAGAAGAAGACGAACAAGGAACTGGCCGCGCAGCGAATGTCCCAGTGATTATCGACGAGGTGAGCATGGCGAACGCGAACTCCCTTGCAGAGCTCGGTTCGCACCAGCGGTCATGCGCGCCAGCAGCGAGCGACGCGAGGGTAGGCAAGGGCGGCGTGGACAGGCCGTTCGGGGTCGTGAGCGCGTTGTTTTATTGAGATCCCGACCAGTTAAAGCCGCCGTCTAGAACAGCCATCAACGCGCTGCCCACGTCGCGCCGGAAGTATTCCAGGAAGTACGCACCAGGCGCCGCGGAGGGCCACGGGCGGCGCATCTCCTGGGGGCCGAAGGCAAGTGGGCGGCGCAGGGCAGGACGGAATTGACGGAATGTAAGCGCGTGGAGGACCAGGACGCGCGGCTCCAGGGCGCGCAAGACGAGCTTCGGCGAGGGGCGCTAACTGAACGCATTCGCAGTTTCTTGCGTGGCAGGCCCGCGGATGCGCCGGGGTCGCGGGCGAACGGCGCACCGCAGCGTGGAGCCGAGCTTCGCCGAGAGAACGCAGCGCCAATTTCGAAAGACGGCGGGTTCGAATGCGCGGGGCGCCAGGGTGAGCGAGAGAAGAGGAAGCTCGTTGCGACGCTGCCAGAAGACGCGCGTTTTCGGGTAGAGACATTTGTGGAAACCATTGCGACTTATGCCAATCATGACATCCGGTGCCGCGCCAGGAAACAGACAGCTGCCCAGTGGGCGAAGGAGCGAGGAGAGCAGCTCCTATGGGTCGCGGCCAGAGATCGCCCGTGCCACGGGGGAGGGCAGAGGCGACCGTGCGCGGTGGAGGGCCAAATGCGGTGGCTAGGCTACCGCGACAAAGAGTGCGCATGCTTGCAAGGGTGGATACCGCAGGCGAAGGGCATGCCCGTCGCCTTGGGAGAACATTTGGATCGGTCGAAGAAGCAGCTGCTGCAGGAGCGCACAGCAACAATTCATGACTGGACTCCGCACGGGGACGAGGCAGTGGGGGATGACGACGCGGAGACATTGTTACATCTGCCGAGAGCAATTGTGTTAGATTTGCCACGCGAAGGAATGACATCTCCCAGGCTGGGAACCAGGGCTCTATCCGATCTTACTATTGAGGGGGCGGCAGTCGCACTTGGACGGGCATCGGAAGCATTCATTTTTAAGCACTCACGCCCTAGTTGACAGTAGCGGCGCACGCCGCGCAAGGGCGGACTGCGGGCGCAGTGATAGCGGACCTTGAGAGAGGACGCGGCGCCAGTTGGGCGTCCCACTACGCGGCCACCGCGCGCGCTGGCGAGAGAACCTCTTGATTTTCCGGCCGCTCGACAGGAAGCCGCGCGACGAGTGCGAGGTGGCGGGCGCGCAAAATTTTTGCGAGTTTTCCGAGGGGAGGGCGTGGATTGGGAAGGAATGGGGGGCGCGGCTGATGCCTCGAGACCAGCGCGAATGGCGCCGGCCAAGGCTGCTGGTAGAGGCGTTCACCAAGTATGAGTTCCAGAGGGAGGACCAGCCAGCGTCTCGTAAAGAGCGCACGGCGGTTTTGAAAAGAATTGGTGGGAAATGGTGCAAGTCGGGCAAATCATGGGCTTCCAATGCGGATGGCGAGGAACCGACGGGGCACGGCGGCTGTCGGGGAAGGAGCTGGCGACGAGGAGGAGCCGAAGAAGGTGTGGACCCAGTATTGCGCGAAATGCACCCAGGTGGAATCAAACACACAATTCGCGCAGCGGCAACACGAAGTGGAACGAAAGCGTTGGCACGGCGTTGTGTTCGAACGAGCAGTGCCTTGCGCTTTTTCAAGAGAAGGCGGTCATGTCGGAAGCGCAGAAAAGTACAACGCAGCCAGAGTCAGGCTCTGTCGAAAATGCGCGTAGGATCGGCAGGAGTGCGCGCTCGAGTCGACTAATAGGAAGAGAAAGGCAGAAACACAGGCCGAGCCGCTGACATGTTGTTCGCCAGAGTGCGAGAAAACCTCCGTGGACACGAAGCATTTGAAGCCTCAGCAGGTGAAGGAGCACCAGAGAAAGAGAAGCACCTGAGTGGAGTGTTGAGCGTGTGACAAGCGCGGCGTCACTTCGAAGGGAGTAGCCGATGCGGCGAAGCAGCCGACGCGCGAATTACCGTGCGCGGCGCGCGGAGGATTGTTGTCGAACACGATGCATCAGAACAGGGACCGAAATGGATCATCATCGAAAGGCGAACAGGCGCGCGTGGTTTGCGGAGGGCGCGCAATTGGCAGGCATATCAGCGCAGCGGCACGTGCAAGAACAAACTGCCGAAGTCGGCGTCCTCCGAACGGGCGGGAACGTCGCGCGCGCCGAGAAAACCAGAACCCTGAAGTGCAAATGGTGCCAATGAGACTGGCTCGGGTAACAATTATGAGAATCGCTTGGGCAAGGGCGGTGCACGTACCGAATTCCGTGGGGGAGCCAGGAAGGGAGACAGCGAGAGCGAGAACGAGGACTAAGAGGATGAGAGTGCGGAAAAAGAGGTGGAAGAGGAGGAGTAGGAGGAGGGGAGGAGGACGTGGGAAAAGGAGGAATAGATGATGAGAAGGAGGAGGAGGACAAGGAGGGGGAGGAGGTGGAGGAGGAGGAGGAGGAGGGGGAAGAGGAGGAAGATACCTTGGTCGAGCTCACACACGGTGACATAACGAATCGTTTTTGGCGCATCCGCCACCGTACGTGGGTTCTGGGTGAGAGGCCACTCGGATGGATGATGGAGTCTCGTGGGGTGCTTTTCGGGGGCCTCTTGGAGGCAGTTGTTGGCCATTTTGGCGGCCTCCTGAGGGCCTCTTGGGAGCCTTTTTGGGGCCTTTTGGGGCGTCTTGGGGGCCTCTAGGGGCGTCTTGCGGGCGTTTTGGAAAGGAGGGCCCGACATGTCCGCTCGGGTTCCCCGTCTGGGTCCCCTCCTGGGGCTGTTTGGGGCCGTCTTGAGCCGTCTTTGCTTCTGGGGCCGTCATGGACCATTTGCAAGCCCAAAAGGCGAATATGCTAAACATGCACGCTTCCCGAAAGGAATGGAACGAGTTTTGCCTCTTGGGCCCTCGTGGGAGGCTTCGTGGAGGCCTCTAGGGGCATCCTCAAGGCATCTTGGATTGTCTAGTGGCAATGTTTGGCATCTTGTCAAAGTCATTGAGCGACTCGGGGCTCTCTTGGACCATCCTTGGGGGCCTTTCCGGGCTTTTTTCACCCGGTGTGAGGCCCCCTTTATGCCCCCCCATATGCGTTCGTACCGGCGGAGCCACCCGCGGTCATGGGGTGGGGTCCCCAGGAAGGGTTTAGGGGGAGAAACATTTGAATTTCGCACGCCTAGATATGCTAGTGGTGCGCTTTAGCCCTCGTCACAGATTTATTTCGGCAGCCCCCCGCGTTTGGCGGGTCGCAGACTGCAAAGTTTATCAAAGTTTAATGATACCGTCGGTCCTTGGCACTGAGGTAACCGGCCGCGCGCACATTGGCAGACGCCGCCGTTGAGAGTGAGTAAAACCATTGACCATGATTCTCGGGAGCGCCAGTTTCGGGCCGGACGAAAGGGGGGGATTGGGAAAGGGGGGGTCACGAAATCTGCTGCATGCAGCTGGTTTCGGCCCCACCGACGTGCCCACTCCTCGATACATAGCCGCCTCCGGCGCCAGGAGGCGCCGGGAAAATCACGTGAGCTGATTCTCAACCCCCCCCCTTTGCTATTCCCCCCTTTCGCCCGACCCGACAGTTCCTGGGCGCGTGGGCGGGAGGAGAAGTCCTCCCATCGCCAGCAGGAGGTGCCGTGCCGTGCCGGCACGGGCCGTGCCGTGCCGGCGAGCCGCCGAGAACTGGCCGGCCCCGCCCGAAAGGGAGGAAAGGAGAGGAAGGGAGAGAGGAGGGAGGGAGGGAGGGAGGGAGGAGGAGGGAGGGAGGAGGAGGGGGGGGAGGCGGGGGAGGAGGGAGGAGGGGGAGGGGGGGAGGAGGAGGCGGAGGAGGGAGGAGGAGGAGGGAGGAGGAGGAGGAGGAGAGGAGGAGAGGAGGGGGGAGGAGGAGGAGGAGGAGGAGGAGGAGGAGGAGGAGGAGGAGGAGGAGGAGGAGGAGGAGGAGGAGGAGGAGGAGGAGGATGAGGAGGAGGAGGAGGAGGAGGAGGAGGAGGAGGGAGGAGGAGGAGGAGGAGGGAGGAGGAGGAGGAGGAGGAGGAGGCGGAGGAGGAGGAGGAGGAGGAGGAGGGAGGAGGAGGGAGGAGGAGGAGGAGGAGGGAGGAGGAGGGGAGGGGGGGAGAGGGGGAGGTGGAAGGGGGGAGGAGAGGAGGAGGGAGGGGGGAGGAGGAGGAGGAGGAGAGGAGGAGGAGGAGGAGGAGGAGGAGGAGGAGGAGGAGGAGAGGAGAGGAGGAGGAGGAGGAGGAGGAGAGGAGGAGGAGGAGGAGGAGGAGGAGGAGGAGGGAGGAGGAGGAGGGAGGAGGACTCGAGGGTCCAAAGAGGGGGAAGGAGGAGGGGGAGGAGGAGGAGGAGGAGGAGGAGGAGGAGGAGGAGGAGGAGGAGGAGGAGGAGGAGGAGGGGAGGGGGGGGGAGGGGGGGGGGGAAGGGGAGGAGGAGGAGGGGGAGGAGGGGGGAGGAGGAGGAGGAGGAGAAGAGGAGGAGGAGGAGAGGAGTAGGAGGAAGAGGAGGAGGAGGAGGAGGAGTCAGCGGGGAGCGGGACCGGCCGCACCGCTTTGGGACTCGGGTCGTCCTCCGAGAAGAAGGTCTCGGGCGACGGGGGCCTCCAGGCTCCCGAAGCCGTGCGGCGAGGCCCTCGGAGGCTTCGAGGTCGCCACACGGTCTGTCACCGCACCGTCTTGGGACCCTTCTGAGGGGGAGGTGGATCTCACTGGCCGGGGCCACGGTATCTCCTAGGCTTCACGGCCCCCCTCTCCCTGGCCCCCCGCTCGTCCGCGCACTGGCCTCGGCCCGTGAGGCGCGCCCCTTCCTCTCTGGCCCTCTGCGCGTCGGCTGCTCTCTCGCCAGTACGATGGCGAGTCTGGGGGGCACTCCCAGACCCGGCGGGCAGCACATTCGGAAGAGCAGCAAGCAGTATAAGCATGCACGCCGGTCGCTGAAAGTAGGCATGTGTGGTCTCCCAGACCCTAGGCTTCGATCTGCTTCCAGCGCCTGCATACTCCAAGAGCCGATCTACGCTTTGGCTGTGCTCTGTTCTTCTCGGGGAGGACCTGAACCCAATCTACTTGTTATCCTCGACGAGACGTGAGAGTGACCTTTCGCTGGAGTGACCTCTGGTGCGGGCCCAATGGGGTTCCCCGACCGCCGAACGCGATGCCGTAGTAGCGTCTTGTGCGCTTGTGTGTTGGGTCCCCCCGCGGCCCCCCAAAAGCCGCGCACCAAAGGTCACTCTTACAGTCGGGCCCGTGGAGAAGGAACCATTTTCGTTGGGGAAGGGCTCAGTGTTCCTTAAGCGTTCTACAGCTTGTCTGAGGTTTTCCTTTGGTCTTCGATGGGAAGTCAAAGTTTAACTGATGGAAAAACGGGGCTTCGTTCCTTATTTAGGGTTCCTTATGGCAGTGTTTCGACTGTACCCAGGGTCGCTCTTGCGTGCAGCCGTTATCCGCCTTCCTACTCCCTACCTTTACCTACTCCCTCCGACCGGCGTGTGAGCTTTCGGGCGCGTGCTCCGATGTCCTGGCTCGGGGCCGGACGCCCCCTGGCTGATGGGCCTGCTTTCCACCACCACCACCACCACCATAAGGTGGAGGACGAAGAGGAGCAGGAGGAGCAGGAGGAGGAGGTGGAGAAGAGATTGGAGGAGGAGGAGGAGGGGGAGGAGGAGGAAGAGGAGGAGGACGAGGACGAGGAGGAGGAGGAGGAGGAGGACGAACAGGAGGAGGAGGAGGAGGAGGAGGAGGAGGAGGAGGAGGGGAGGTAGGAGGAGGAGGAGGAGGAGGAGGAGGAGGAGGAGGAGGAGGCCCCCTCCCCCCGCGACGGGCGAGGGGGGGGGGTGCAGCGCCGGCCCCAGCAGCGTGCGCGCGGACCTCTGGCGCTTCGCTCCTCCTGCCGCCTCCGCCTCTCCAGCAGCACACGCGCTCCCCCCCCCCTCCCCCCCATCCTCCTCCCCCTCCACCCCCCTCCACCTCCTCCTCCTCCCTCCTCCACCTCCTACTCTCCTCCTCCTCCTTCTCCTTCTCCTCTCCTCCTCCCTTCTCCTCCTCCTCCTCCTCCCCCTCCTCCTCGTCCTCCTCCTCCTCCTTCTCCTCCTCCTCCTCCTCCTCCTCCTCCTCCTGCTCGTGTCGCCTCCCGCCTCTGCAGCAGCACACGCGCTCCCCCTCCCCCCCCAGTAAGGTTGAGTCGGGCCTGTCCCTCTACTCCAAGGCAGTCCAAAAATAGTCTGGAGACGATTTCTGTGGACTGTTTTTGCCCAATTTTCGGGGGGGTAGGTTTTGAGTATTTTTCATTTTTCGCCCAAAACTCCTTTGTCTCCAGCATCACACGCGCCCCCCCCCTCCAGTAAGGACGAGGTGTCTTCACCAGGGACTCCTTGCATCCTGGCCTCGTTTCGGAAGCCCCGGCAGGCCGGTGCCGCGGGGGCATCTGCTGCGTATGGGGCGCCCGAGAGCCCCCTGCTCCTTTACAGTCGGCCCAGATTAGTAGGTCGACCCTGCCAGCTCAAGGGTACCCCTGTGTCTTGTGCCTCGCGACGCGTGCCTTCTTACACTCCTATGACAATGTGGCCCTCGGAAGGGTCTTTTGTCCTCTCGCGTGTCCTGTCCAATGAAGTCCGACTGTACCCTGCATCCTGAATGACTGGCCTCGGGCGTGCCCAGCCGTGCTTTTGCTCGCCACCCTGTGTCTGTTCCGGTCCTGTGTGGTGTGCACTCAGCTCTCTGCCGCGCCCTGGCTGCTGCTGCTGGACGCTCTTCATTCCTCGCCGCCGCTGACAAAGCCTTGGTATCGCTCGGACGTGTGCACATCATCAGTGTTACTTCAATAGGGACCGAGTGAGGGTTTTTCTGGCTGCGCCGTCGTCGGTTTCCTCTCTGCCGAAGGGACTAAGGGGTCCGGCGGCCGCGCCGTCGTCGGAATTCCGGGCGGGGATTATTCAAGAGTATCCTGGATCATCCCGCGAAAAAGCCACGCACGAGGCCGACGAAAAAAACACAGGGAAGGGACGTGCGAGCGATGGCCGGGAGCACTGCTCAGCTTGCGCGTGCCGGACCTCGCCCCCGCCGAGGCCGCAGCGGAGGGGCCGAGGAGAGGAGCGCCTCCATCCCTCGAGCGAGCAGAGCAGCAGACGAGTGGGCGCCCAGCGTGCTGCTCAGACGCACTCGCCAAATTGCCCCCTTGCGAGGGCGGCGTGCACGTTCGAGAGGACGGCTGGCCTTTTCGGCGGCCGACGCACGGGCGGCGCACGGGCGACGCATGCGCGACGCACCTCTTGTCGCGAAGGGGGGGGGTCAGCACGCCGGTCGTTTTACTGGGCCTTAACAGACGGCTGGTTCCTGCTCGGCGGGCCTCGACGCGCTTCCAGGGCAGGGGCCCCCGCGCGAGCCGGCGCCTACAACTTTGCGACCGTGCCGCCTGCCGCCTCCGGCGGGTGCCGAGTGGGGGTCCTCCTGCCGATCGGGCTCAAACTGGCCAGATTTGCAGCTCGTCCCTACAGTTCTGATGTTCCTACCTACTTTAGACTTGATCACCAAAATGAGTTTCGAGCACCAGGAAAGTACCCCCCAAACTCGAGGGTTTTCACGTGTCGGGCCCTGGGAGACACTCTGTCGACACTGTTTCGACACTCTTTAGACACTCTTTCGACACTTTTCTGGGTGCTCGAAATTATTTCTGGGATTTGGTCCTTAAGTACGATGGGAGCAACGTAAAGCTCGTCCCTGCAGAATCAATGGTGCCCCGTTTCTTGCCGACCGCGACTCGTGTCCCTTCCACGGGCTGCCCTTGGAAGAGTGTTGTGTCCTCTCTGGCGTCTTCGGCAGTCAGCCCCGACCATGCTTTGGGCGTGGTTGCCAGGCGTGGAGATTTTGGGTGGGTCATATTGCTCCACGCCATACATCACGCATGATGTGTAGAACGTGAACCATGTGGCCTCCCCGTTGATAGGGTCGATGCGCTGATCCCGCCTGCGGAGGAAGCTGGCGGAAGTATAACACGAGTGGGTTTTCCCGCGCATGCTTCGCGGAAGTCGAAGCCTGCGGAAGTTAAGTGGATCCCCCGTCGAAGAGGTCAACGCCCAGGTGCCCATGGCTTCTGGCACGATACGCGTGGAGGGTGTGCAGAATGATTCGGACGTCCCCGCGCGAGCACGCCCGCGGAGGCCGCAGGTGGACCTCCACTTGGCACGACCCGTGCGAGGCATGCTCCGAAATGGGCGGGAGGACCCCATGCGGAGCTGCCCAGTGGTGCCATCGGTGGAGTTCCTGCTGGGGCGTGATTCGCGTGACGGGTGTGCCGACATGGGCGGGGGGGCGCTGTACGAACCATGTCTTTGGGCCTTTAGGTGGTGCTCCTCATGGGCGCGAGGCGCGTGATGGGGTGTGCCGCAATGGGCCAGGGCGGGGCGCCGCAA